GGAGCCCGATGCGGGGCTCGATCCCAGGACCCTGGGATCATGACCTGAGCTGAAGGCAGCCGCTTAACCGACTGAGCCACCCAGGCGCCCAATAATACTTCATTTTTAAGTAATCCCTGCACCCAACGTAGGGCATGAACCTACAACCCCAAGATCAAGTGTCACACGCTCTACCGACTAAGGCACCCAGATGCCCCCAGGTTATAAATCTTAAAGTTAGCACCTGGCCCAAAGTGCCTCAGACCCTCTCCTGGTTGGTAACAGATTGGAGAGTGTGTCACCCTGGTCCAGAGAGCCGGGGTCATTTGCCATGATTTCCTGGTTCTCACCCACCTTGAGTCTATGGACTGTTTTTCTGTCTGCTCGCCGTCTGGAAGTTTCTTGTAATTCATACCCATTGGCTTGGTTTTCTCTTCCTGGAGAAGCTTAGTGTCCTTTTTATGCTTAGAGAGTTCACTGTGTTCACTTTCTAGGTTTTTTGTTTGTTTTGTTTTTTAGTTAGAGAACTACAGAGAAGCATGAAGAATATCATAACAAATACCCATGTATTTCCACGCAAGTTTAATAAATGGTGACATTTGGTTATCATTTCAAGTTTTCTCAACCGAGGAAAACCATCACAGATCAGTTGGAAGCCCATCTTGTTCCTTTCCCAGGCCCTTCCCAACCTTCCCTAGAGGCAGGCATTCCAATGAATTCAGTGGGTAGCCTTCTAGTTTATGTTTTTATACCTTATGTTATGCAAAATATAGTAGTGTTTTGCGTTTTTAAATCTTTTAAATGATGTATCACATGAACGTAACTTGCTCTGTTCACTCAGTCTTGGTTTTGAGATCTAGTCGTGTTGATACCATGCCCAGCACTGTCTTAGGCGCTTCGAAACAGCATGAATAAAGCAAATTCCTTTCCTCACGGTTTTTTATTCCTTGAGGGCTTGGGGCGGGGGTGGGGGAGGCGTATGCGGTATGAATGGACCACGATTTATTTAGCCCTTTCCTGACTGGTGCGCGTCGATTTGCTCTGACGGTCAGTGCCCCAGAGGACAGCTGTGTGTGTCCCCTGCTATGCAGGGACTGTGTATGTGGTGTGCAAACTTTTCTCAAAGGGCCAGATTGCACATTTTTTAGGCTCGTGAGCCATGTGGTCTGTCACAACTATTCATTTCAGTTCTGCCCTTCTTGAAAGCGGCTATAAACAATATGTAAACAAATTATTTAAGAACACTGGGGTTTGAGTTTCATATGATGATTACATGTTAGGAAATACCCTTTTGATTTTTTTCCCCCAACCACTTAAAAATGTAAAACCCATGCTTGACTCGAGGTGTCCATATCTTGGCTCACAGGCTGAGTCTGCAACAAATGAGTCACCCCAGAGCCCTTGGAAAGCTGCTCCAAGTCCAGTGCCAGATGAAAACAGGAAGCGTGAGGGTAAGTCGCTGACCAGTTCTAGCCATTGAGAAACACCTGGGAAAGCCTTTAGCAAGCTGGAAGGCAGAATGACAGCCAGAGGTCTCCGGACCCAGGCCCTTTGCCAGAAGATCGTTCTGGTCTAGCTCAGCCTGTTCGACAGGGCCAGTAACAAGCCCTGCCTCTCTTTATCGTCCCATGGGTAGGGCTGACGTCTGGATCGAGCCATCATCCTCCAAGAAGAACAGCTACCTGAACAGGAAGGTAGTGTAATGGGGACGGCGCAGGTTGGGGAAGCCTGACTGCACATCCCGCCTGGCTGGGCCACCGACGCCTTCTGTGATCTGGGGCAAGACCCTTCGCTGTTTCTAACGGGAGTAATCCGCATCCCTCCACTCGGTTTGTAGGATGACATGACGAAAAGTGTGATGGAAGATGCCTGACATATGAGAGGTGTCCGATAACTGCTAGCCAACACTTGGATTCTCTCCCCCACGGAGTGGAGGCCAGGACACTTCCCGGGACGGAAGCAGCTCGCTCCATCTTCTAACACTTCTGACCGCTGGAAAAGCTCGTTCCTTCCGTTGAGCTGAAAACTCGCTGGCTGTGGCTTGCATTCCCTGTCCCACTTCCAGCCCCTGAGAGCAGGCAACAACCCGCTCCCTCGCTTCCCCAGTCAAGACAGCCCGTTTCCTTCAAGTTGTGATCCTGAGTCCTCTCGCCATTCTGGCCACCCTCGTTAGAATTAACAAACATCCTACACACTTGAACTGTAGGTGAAGATAAGAGTCTGGGTCACCCACTCTGGCCGTGGGTGAGGAAGGCCAAACATTGGTTAAGAGATTCGATGGTTGGGCGCCTGGGTGGCTCAGTTGGTTAAGCGACTGCCTTCGGCTCAGGTCATGATCCTGGAGTCCCTGGATCGAGTCCCGCATCGGGCTCCCTGCTC